AAACTCTTACTAAATGACTTCAGATATCAGTCAATATCTTGCTGATAGGACAACCTTTTAGCAAGGTTCTATCTTTTGGTATCTGCAGGCAAATTTTAGAGGTAAGTTCTGTAGTATACCTACAAATACGTCCAAATTTGGAAAGCCTTAAATCCTTTTCTATTTACAGTCATAAACATTATCGGCCCAATAACGAACAGTACCTGTAAAAGCACAGCATTGGCAAACCTCTTACTCATGAAGCGTCTTTTTAGAACCCAGATGCCAGCAAAGGCAATGACACTGGACAGCAACATGTCTCAGCAGCAGCAGCAGCAGCGGAAGCTTGCGAATTTATCACCAAGACAACCAGAGTAACAGCTGGAAGCAATATTGATCCGAGCAATCAGTTGAGACAAATAGTCCCAGTTACACAGGACGGCCTCTGTCAGCTGGGTCCTTACTTGCATGGGACATTCGTCTTCAAAAAACAAAACATTTGTTTTTTGAAAATAAAAGAAGTGAGCTTGTCATTTCAAAAAAAAAAAGAAAAAGAAAAAAGGAAATGATAGTTTTTCTTACCAAATTTAGAATTTTGAAAAACTTATATCTGCTATCACAAGCTGAAGGTTTCCAAATACTTAGACTTGCCTAATGAGATCAGTGGTGACATTAACACACGTTTAAGAGCTGCATAACTCAGCAAGCCAACACTGTCCAAAAGATCTGTGCGTCGTGTTGCAGAATCGTGCATGGGTAAAAGACCATGCTCAAAGTTCAGGACACGCCAATGGATTTTAACATAACAGAATAGAAAAAGTTCATTGACATGTTCTAGGTTCCACATAACAGTGTCTTAAACAAACTACCACTTTTTGAGTTTCAGTATAGTAATAAATAATATCCAGAATTACTTGACAAAGGCTATTAAGAAACTCTCTCCTTCTAACTATATATATCTGTGTGAGGCCAGATTTTCTTCAAATTCTGAAACCAAAAGAACATACTGAAGCAGAATGAATGAAGAAACAGATAGGAGAATCCAAACTGTTTCCTCTTGAACCAGACCTTACAAAGAGATTTTCAGAAATGTAAAACAATGTCTCCCGGGCCGACCCCGTGGCTTGGCGGTTAAGTGCGCGTGCTCCGCTACTGGTGGCCCAGGTTTGGATCCCGGGCGCACATGACGCACCGCTTGTCCGGCCATGCTGAGGCCGCGTCCCACATACAGCAACTAGAAGGACGTGCAACTATGACATACAACTATCTACTGGGGCTTTGGGGAAAAAGAGGAGGAGGATTGGCAATAGATGTTGGCTCAGGGCTGGTCTTCCTCACACAAAAAAACAAAAAAAACAATGTCTCCCTTCTCACTAGATTATTTCTAGTTAGGAAAATGTGGTTATTTTCTGTAAAAATATGTTGTTTATCTTAACATGTAATGGGTTCATTATTATTTTTTAATGAATAAATATTTTTAAATGTTCTTAGCTTTAATTTTTAATACAGTAAACAGCTATAGATATAACACACATAAAAAAAAAAAAAAAGCTTTCCGGGGCAAGCCCCATGGTGTAGTGGTTAAGTTTGCACGCTCCCCTTTGGCGGCCCAGGGTTCACGGGTTCAGATGCCGGGCACGGACTTACACACGGCTCATCAAGCCATGCTGTGGCGGCATCCCACATACAAAATAGAGGAAGACTGGCACAGACGTTAGCTCAGGGCCAATCTTCCTCACCAAAAAAAGAAGCTTTCCAGTGTCCTCAATTATTTTTAAGATGATACAGAGTGTTGAGTCCAAAATAGGAACACTAATAATCCAGGGGCTGCCCTGTCCACAGAGGCTGCACCGGCTGTCTGTGCTGACTGTCCCCACCCCATCTTCACACACAGTCCTCCCACTTGACTGTGCATTCTCTAACAGTACTAACTAAATACTTCCTGTAGAATAGGTCTTACCTACATCATGCTATAGCACCAACATTAATTGCTAAATCTAGTGTGAGAAAGGGCTGAATAAAATCACATGATTTCATAAAGAAAAATAATAAAGGGAGAGAAAAAAATGCATTTATAGAACTCAAAATAATGAGAGCTCTACTGTCAAAGTAGCAAAATAGGGGCCGGCCCGGTGGCACAAGCGGTTAAGTGCTCATGCTCCACTGCGGTGGCCCGGGGTTCACCACTTTGGATCCTGGGCGCACACCGATGCACCGCTTGTCAAGCCATGCTGTGGTGGCGTCCCATATAAAGTGGAGGAAGATGGGCATGGATGTTAGCCCAGGGCCAGTCTTCCTCAGCAAAAAGAGGAAGATTGGCAGATGTTAGCTCAGGGCCGATCTTCCTCACACACACACACACACACACACACACACACACACACACAAAAAGTAGCAAAATAACTACATAAGCCCATTTGACGACTGAGCCAGGTTCTAGCTCTGGAGGGTAAATGGATGCACATGATTTGGAGGACACGACAAAGCAGATAAAAGAGAAGCAAAGCATCATCTGTCCATGTGGGAAAAGAAACCCATCCCAGGACCATGGGGAAGCCCAGATACCAGCAACCAGGCAGGTCTCTGCAGCCACCGCCACTGTGTGGCACCTACCACTTCAAACACAACCCCAGCCACGCTGCCAGGCAGTTGTCACCAAGGACATAGGATTGACATCAAAATAACCCAAAGAAGAACTGTAAAATGTGAAAATGAAATGAGTCTGATTTTAAACAGAAAAATCTAGTTATAAGTAAATAACTATAAATAATTACACAACTATTTGTATGGACATGTGCAAACACATACATCACACCTTTATATTTTTATTTATTTAAATGTATGTGTTGGCTGACTGTGCCTCAGCACTGTTGTCTGAATTTAGATGGCCAGTTCTCTTGATCAGAAACCACATTGAAAAGGCCAGAATTTATACAACATTTGGCACAGATTCATGCATATAATAAATAACCAAATCACACACAAAGCGATTAGAATTTTAGAATATTCTCTACATTACACATAATATAGAACATAATACACAACAACAAAAAAACACTACATGTATTCAATATTTTTATCAGAGAGACTTCTTAAAGCTCAAAAAAATAATCTTATTATTGCAACTTTGTAGAGAACAAAAATAATTAAATTTTAGGGGCAACTACTAGTTTAAGTACTTTATTCTTCTCCACTGCCCATCCTTCCTACAAGTAAAATAAAATGTAGGCACACAGAATTCTCAAGGATGGAATTATTTTGAATAATCAAGTGTTCCACTTGATTGGCTTCATCCTTTCTGTGCTGGAATATGTTTTAACGCATTCTGAACAAAATAATCCCTGCCTTTTAGAAACACACTGTACTGAGCATAATTCAATTGCACCATGATGTCTCAGGGCATTATTATAAACTTACTACTGTGATATGCAGTAATAACTCTTTCCCCATTTCCTACCTGCCCTCCTTCCATACACAAATGCTATGCACAAGCACACACATACAGACAGGTAAATGTGCTCCACAAACTGTAAGTTATATTTTCAGAGTGGCACAAAGACATTTTCCAAGAATTAGTGACCCAGAATGGATGGCTATTGACTTCACTCTTGTCTTCATCCTGCTTCACCACAACTCCACACGGCCCCCAGTATACATAAGAGAGTAGTACCAGTGACATCAAAGACCACGCTGTTAGGTGGCAAGGGCTGGCCCCAGACTTCAGAACTCTCTCCTCTCTCCTCATCACTGACTTGCTTCTTCTGTAGAATCAGGACATGGTACTCCCAGCTCTGGCACTATTTGAAGGCCACCTGCCCTCAACATGGCTCTTTGCTGCCTTTTTCCTTTTGCTTCTCTCTACCTTTCTTTCTGTTGTCTCTGATTCTGTTACACATATTGGACTTTGTCCTGAAAACCTCACTTTCTCTAGATACTTCTAAGCAAGAAGACCTCCTTTTGTTCTTTAGGGTGCCCATTATTCCATAGCCATCATGTATAATGGTTGATTGTTCTTGGCTGTATGTTCCATTTAGAAGTATTTAAGAGGCTATTCTAAGATAACAAATATTAAGTTGACATGTCTTTTAACTTTAGCCAGAAAATTCCCAAAATAAATTATGCTCCACTGCTGCCCTTTCATCCACCTACTTATAATAATCACAGTATTGATTCTTTAGTCTGCTTAAACAAACATTTCTTCATGCACAAAACAGTTATTGTGCTAGACGCTGCACTAGGTGCTGGGGATATGATGACAAAGACTCAGATACTTTGGCTCTTGAGTAGGAAGTTTCAGCAACGTAATCCAGTTACACAGTTGACCATATACAGTCCTGCTACCGCAAACCATTTAAGATTCATGTAAAATCATCTGGGTATGAAAATTAAGAGTATTCTTTCAAGTCTTTTCAAGTGCTTCTCTACATGATAGATAAAATCCAGACAAGGTTCTTTCACGAATATTCAGCAGTTCATTCACTCTTCACTAGGGCACAGCCCTCTTTCACGGGAGAAATTGTACAGGAAGTCATAGGAAATGGAGGGAAACTTTAGGAAGCAGTCCATGGCATAACAGATATTATGGTCATATCACTCTTGTATCCAATGAAACCCTACAGCATTCAAGCAACAACCAAAGACATTGTAAATTTTAAAAGGCCACATTTGATGTGAGTTATAGGAGGGATTTTTAAGAGGAGGCCCTTAGTCTTCTATAAAAAGTAAAACTGCTATTTCCCTATTCCATCCATTAGAATCATGTATAAAGTAAATCACAGTTATATCACAACTAAACATTAATCAAATTATTTCCACTTTAGATGTTTAATTTAGTTTTGTAAAGTATACTTATTCAAAATTTTTCTAGAGTAAGGAACTGGATGTCGTAAAACTTTAAGGGAGAGAAAACAGCCAAGATTAATTCTTAATCTGGGAGATATTCTATAACATTACAATCTTCCTGGTCTTGGAAGAATTTGATTTCTCTAGGTTGTTTTTATCCCCAATTACAATCTACATACCTGTGTGGCTACGGATATGAACTCTCAGGGTCCCACTGCTGGCAAATTTCTGGCCACAATATGGGCAGATTTTCTCCTTTTCTCCTGTATGTGTCTAAATGGAATGGAATAAAAAGAGTTGAGAATAAATATAAAGAATTAGGTAACGATGATTAAGTGCCTCTGACCATGGTAAATCCTTTTTTTCCAGGATTATGTTTCACTAAAATGATTTAATATCACAACGAGATTTTAAACCATTTATCATCAGTATTCCCACTGGTTCAAAAAAAAAAAAAACCTTACAATCGTGCATTAGTGTTAATTTGAAAATGATTGTGCAGTTTACGTTTTAAGCCTTTCTGGAGCCCTGATCTAAAAATGATTAAGTTCTACAAGACCAGTATACACTGGCAAAACCACATAATCAAAATGGGGCTACAGCTGCCCTTGACCGCTGTCAAGAAACATGTCCTTAGAAGCATTTTTCACATTCTTTGTGTATATTTAACTCTTGAGGATAGAATTAATCTCAATAAAGTAATGTCACTTGCATTATGCTTGTCTGACTGGACTTATTTTGCTGCAGAGTAAAAAAGAATATAAATCTGATTTGACCTTTAAAATTAGCAGGTGTTAATTGAACAGTCAATTTAAAAGAACATTCCTGCCTTCAACATACCTTTAATCTGGGCATAAAACCACCACACAAGAAAGGTGAATGAGTATCATCAAAAGCGAGCTTTGATAAAATTTTAGAGAGTTCAAAGAAAACAGAGTGACCTCTCAAAACGAGGAGACAGATCGAGGGTTTTAAACCTGTCTCACAACCTCATCAGGAGACCAGTTATTATACCAACATCAAAACAGGTCATTCCAATACATGAGGGTCAGAGCTACCTTTCAAGCCCCATTGTTTTTCAAACTTAGGAAAAGGGAAAAAGAAGGGAAAAGCAGGCAATTACTTCAGGTATCCACACACTCGTTATCAAACTGTTTTTAGAATTTTTTGTATTTCAATTATAATCTGAAAATTAATACAAGCATGGAGTAGATCATCTGGGTTACAATCACAAAACAGAGCTCCCAGGGCCTGTGTTTGCCTTTGTTTTTATGTAAGTTACTGGCAAGTATTATTATTTGAATTGTGATGGGCTGATGAAAAAAGAATAGGAAAGGTATTTTTAAAAATGATGCATTCCTAGAAGGGAAAGACACACAGGGTGGGACAGAGACAAAAGGGACAGTTACCTCATCACCTGACAACCTCAGAGAACCACCGACTCAGCACAACATTCTCCTCATCCATGTTAAATTGTTAACTTAATACAATTGGTGTCACAGCCTTCTTGGTACTTAATTTGTAAATTTTTGTATTTGAATTATAATCTGTAGTTGGATATTACTATTGTACTTGTAATTTTTAAAAGAGCTATAAACTAAACACCGTGGTCAACATCAGTGAGATTTTAGATCTTTTTTCCCTCGGAAAGGACTTATATTATACTCAAGTTCGAAAAATATAGCCTAACCAACTGCTGCACTAGCCAGCAACACTCCCCACAACAGACATCTCCTGATCCCACAGTTGGCAAGCACTTAACTTTCCATTTTCACTACAGGTTCTTATACAAAACAGTTCTACATTCTTTACACCTCAGTGGGAGCCCTTACTCCCATGGTCCACATTACCACTCCATTTAAAGGAAATGCCGGAACATTTTAACATATAACAGACCTATATTCTTCTCATGCCCTGAAAGAAGGGGCAAAATATGGCAATTCTTTCTTGATTAGTGTAAGGTTGTTTAGAAACTATATATATTATTACAAGACTGGATTATTCCAAACAGGCAACTACCAATTTATTTGTAATATCTTTATAAAATCCACAGGATTCTTTTTGCTGCTACAAAAGTATTTCATTGCTCACTTTCATGACCTAAGTTATTTATCAGTGGTATAAGTTTCAAACTAAAGGACGTTAAGGTTATATTACTGAAAAGAATTTAAAAGTTCCCTTGGCTTAATTTAAAAATATATCTTATTAGTAGGTACAGAATTTTCTTAGCTGATTTTAAAGGACACTGAAGATATAATACTAAAATATCTTAAATATGGATAAGAAAGCATGGAAACATATCTATAAGAACAATATTAGATGAATGTATAAGATGAAAATAAACAAACTGCAAAATATACTCTGTGACAATCTGTTCTTGATTTGAAAACTCACTATACTTTTCCCTCACTGATTAAACACAACAAATGTTTATTAAATTCATGAAAAAAGTAATTAAAAATTTAATCCTCTTGAATCAGCTTTATTAAGGATAGGTACCAAAATAGAGGTCACACCGAAGCGGGAGTCACTTCCTCACATTCCTCAGCAGCGCACACTAAGTAGCGGAAAACTTCTACACTCCACAGCCATTTCTAAAGTCAACCTCAAAACCTTGACCTGCGTGTGTTACAATACGGATTTTGCTATTTTAAAAATATACTTAAAACAGACTTATTCAATTGACTTGCTTGAGGTCATTAGCGTAACACAAAAAAGATAACTTCCAAATCACGATAAGTAAGAACATTTTATTTGAGTTGAGCAAATACTTATCAAGACCCTGAGCTGCACCAGGAACTTCCCTAGCCCCTGGAGATGCAGGACGAAGAAGGACCATTCCAATCTCAGAGGAGCTCAGTCTAATAACCAGTCATGAACACCTGAATTAGCTTTGAAAAATAAAATTATTAAGGCACTATTCATATTTCTTTTTTTTAAAAAAAAAAACTTATGTTAATCCAAAAATGTATAACAATCGATAAGCTCCCACTCCTCATGTACGCTGCATGGCCCACCTATCAGCACAGCTAAGGGCCGTGTAGAATCCACCTCTAACTCCAGGGTCTCTTTCAGATGAAAAATATGTTTCTTCTGAAAAAATGAAGGAAACAGACATTTTCTGAAGAGCTGATATAAATCATACATTCCTTATGTGTCACTTTGAGTAAATAAATTTAAATAAATTAATACAAAATTGATTATCACATGATAATTAACATATATGGCCATATCGCACATGTAATCCATTCCAACTCACAGAAGGCTTCTACTCACTTTCTTATGACTTCTAAGCACGGAAGGTGTAACAAATGCCTTATTGCACAGCTCACATCTGTATTTCTTGTGTCTATCGTGGACCACTTGGACATGAACATTTAAGGTATCCTTCCTTTTAAAGGTAGCATCACAGTGATGGCACTTGAAAGTCCTCTCACCTTAGAAATGAAAAAGTCAAATAAAAGAAACATACGATGCACTAGCAGGTCCCATTAATCTCCTCACGTATACTAGATTTAGCGTTGTTTTTCTCCAAAAATTTAGCTTTATAGCTCTAGCAATTTATCATAAACACAAAAGGTAATTTTTCCCAAGAAATTTCAGCTCCATATTTGCTAATTCTCTGTGTGACCAGGGGGAAGTCCTTTAAACTTATAGTCTCATGTGTTTCTAGGGCAGGGGCTGGGGTTTGAGCTGTAGATTCTTGTGGTGACAGAGACCTCTACAAAGCAGAGTGAGTTGCCTTTGGGGCCCTTCTCGAACTCCCCTCAATCCCACCACTAGCCCTGTGGTGGACAGGGCAGAGGCAGAACTGGGTCGCAGGCAGCACGCTGGGAGGAAGCCCCTGGGGGCAGGCAGAATGGGTGGGAGCCAGCCCTCTCATCCTGGGACAGGAGAGGGCTACACCACCCCTTCCTTCCTCAGCACCATCTCAGGACCCTGAACTGGAGGCTCCCTAATGTAGTCCCAGGTCTGCTGTGGACAGCTGGGGAAGGGGTTCAACCTCCCAGCCTCTCAGGCAGTGTGGGGGCTGCCTCTCAGAGAGGCAGTTGGATTGGGGGAGGGGGACACTGAGGGCAACTACCCTTTTCTACCCTAGAGCCCTGGGTACCTGAGAGGGTCTTCACCTTCTCATTATATGGCCTAGGCCTACAGGGAAAGCAACTCGAGGAATTATGTTTAGGGAGATTATGGCACTTTTTAAACTTTCATATAATGCCATCTTTGTAGTTCTTCTTAAAACATACACTTTGTTTGTATGTTGCCTTTGTGCATTTTTGTTGCAGGGTGTTATTATTGTAACCTAGTCTGTCTCTATATATCTTTTCAGATTTATTTAAACATTTTATTTGTAGGAAAAGTATAACCAGTGAGAGTAAAAGGAAATATCAATTGACATGAGACTGTAAACGTTAATAATACCAAATCTATTCAGGCACTGAAAGAAATTAAAACAAAAAACAATCCTCCAAGATTGCTCCTATCGAAGCATTTCCATTAAATTAGCAAGTGAATCAAAATACTGGTTTCTGTACAAACACTTCATCAAGCTGTACCAAGGGAGGCCTTCCCTTTCTTCTTTCATATTTTAATTCCATATTTCTTCATTTCAAGCTTATCAAAATGTTTGAAATCTGATATAAGATTTTATCTGATTTTATCAGATTTCTTTGCCTTAAATTTATCAGGATTTTTCCCTTTCTTAAAACCAAGAAGCTAGCCAGCAACCTGCCTTTTAGTCTTCAGTGTATTAGGAAATAGCAATAATTTCCAAAGTAATTATGACAAGTTATTCTTCATATTTTGAGCCAGAGTGCTGATGTAAGTTTCTAAAACAGCCTTTATGTTCTGAAGTTAAATGAGTTTTAATTTTCATATAGTGTAAGACAAGATCTGGTATTTTGTCCTCTCTCTTTTAGCCATTTCTAATTTTCCCATCATTTTAGCTCACTAGCCTTAACTGATGTTTAACTTTACCTTAAATAACTCATTTACTCACTCAGTTACCAAGTTGATTTTCTTAGTCTTGATGCTGCTTCATAAAGCCTCTGATTAACGTGCTGATCAACATTATATTAAATACAGAAAGTACAAGCACAGTCTACTCAGTCACTTCAAGCCTATGTCTCAAGTTGATGAGAACCAATAAGCTGAAATCAAAAGTATTAGATTCCTTCTATTAAAAGTTTCTTGCTGTTATTAAAAATAAAATTGCATCTTTCCAAAGAAAAATTTCCTGAACATCAGGCCAAGTTTAGTCATATAAGTCTAATTTTTTAGTATGAAGGAGGTTCCCTCATCTAAATCTCTCTTCTAAAATCCACTCATCTCATAACAGTTATTTTTCTTAATCAAATGATTGTCAAACAGGATGGAAATCCCTGCTGTTACATGACAAATTTTATTTCTTAAATACATAGCTGTTCTTTATAAGGAAAATGGAAAGTGGTGCTAACAACTTCCCCAGAGCTGTCAGGTGGATGCAGAAAGCCATGAGGTTATAACACTATCTTTTCTAGAAGAAAAGATGCATTTCATCATAATCATTACCACTCAGTATTTATAAAAACTTTAATATCTTTATTATTTTGAATTTTAGATACTTCTACTTGACCAGAGAAAATTCCTTCCAAGATACTATCTTATCTGTACAATCGTCAAGATTGTTTTGCTTTCCTCAGAGATATTAAAAATTTAATCAGCAGTAGGAACTTAGTGTGTAGAGGATCTTCTACTGTTTAAACAACTCAAATGAAAAGCAAGATACATAAATATTACCTATGTTATACCATTTGTTCTTTAATTTTAGATACAGCAGTCTAGTCAATCTCCAGCTACTTCAGCATCTGAACAGAGAATCCATTTTAAAACTCCGCTTAGCACTAACATTTTTTTCTCTTCAATAAAGTGATGTCCTTCGGTGATATGGCTATAAATTCTATGGTATTCTACAAACAGCTCTGAGCGTAACTGCTAGGCAGAATTTCATGGTGTGTATGCATATAACTTAACCCAAAGGAAAAAAAAAATGCCCCTGCCAGAAGTAAGAAATCAGAGAGAGTAGTAAGTTGTGAGTAGGTAGGTGAAGCCTGTGACTCTCAGAGACCTGGCTGCCACCCCTCAGCACTGTGGGACCCGGAGTACGTCCCTGTGTTTATCTGAGTCTCAATTTTCTCAATTCCCTTCAAATTAAGAGGTTAAATTAGATGTGTCCTCTGATGCTTTCCAACTTTAAATCCGTGAGCTAATAAAATCATGCCAGATATGTTTTAAAGAGTTAAGCCTGTTTCCTTAATCATTACATTTAAAAGGGAACAAAAACGTTTGTTTCAGAACAAATTTCAAAGATACCTTACCAAACATAAAAAATACTTTTGTATACAAACTTTAAATAATGGGAAGAAATGATATAAAATGAAATGTCTCATAAAATAATTAATCTTACTGTGGGAAAATAAAGCAAGGATAAAGGAATAAGAGAGGAAAGGCAGAATTATCAGTCCTCTTTATGTTTAAAAGCAGATTACGTACCTATTTACAGGTCCGCTTCTGTGATGCCTACACTCTCAAAGGGTATAAGAACAAAGTGTGAGATCATCCCTTCGTCCTCAACTCCCTGTCTTGTGACTTACTGTTATGTATGAGCAGGTGTCTCTGCAAAGAAAACGGGGTTCGGAACAGAGCTTTACACTCCTCACACTGGAACGGCCTCTCTTCAGAGTGGGTCTGCAGATGAAAGAAACTGGGGATCAGGAGGATCTAGATTCAACTAGTCATTACAATAACTGGGGCTTGGATTCATGACGTCCAAGAGGAAAGAAGGGAAGGTAGACAATATCTTGTTTCTTCTGGTGACCTTCTTCCATCAGAAAATCATAAACACAAATACACTGTGTTCACAGGAGAAAAGCAACTGTATTTTTACATCCTCATATTAACTGTACATTTGATAAACAGAAAAGGACATTGTTCTTATAATCTCAGAATGCTAATCTGAATACACACTGAGATTTTTCAGGCTCTACTTTGCAGAGTGAAATGATGTGTAATTTCTCTAGAGACTAAACCTCTTTTACCACTGAACAGGTTTTAACTATCTGGTACAACATTTTCAACACAGACAAAGGAAACTGGTAAGGGGGAGACTGTTTCTACCCTTTTCCCACAACTTCACTGAATAACTTCAAATAATTTTTAGTCCTAAGTGCTTTTCTCCTAAATTAAACTGGAAAATTTATTCATGTTATAATTAATACTAGGTGACACATTAAATATTTATTTGGTGTCAAATATTATGCTAAACACTTTACATGAATTATTTCATTTAATTCTAACAGTAATTTGATGAATAAAATACTGTTATTGTCCCCATTTTATAGATGAGAAAACTAAGACTCAAAAAGTTTCAATAACTTGCCAAAGGTCAAACAGCATAAATGCAGCAAGCACTATTCAACACACGACAAACAAAAATATACTGATAAATAATAAACAACAGAAAACCCCTTGCTAGATCTAAAACTTAAAAAAAAAACAACAAAACAAAAAAACAGTAAGTTTATTCACTTCACCTATTTTCCATTATACATCAATATTAACCTATTTGGCACTAATCAGTGAGTAAAACCCTCTTCTACTATGGATGGCAAGACAACAATGCTTACAAACACTAAAACACCAAAAATTGCACTGTGTTCTCTTATTATAATATAACAAATCACATAATCGATGGGTTTTTATGATACATGTGGTATAAAAACGAGAATAATTGAAAGGAAAGTCAATTTATTCATAGCATACTGAATTACACATTTTCTTAGTCTAATGGACATTATAATATTCAAGATACAAGCATTATCTATTAACATAACGTTGGTGAGAAAGAGATTATTGTGCCTGCTTTCAGTTGTGAAAAATATAGAGAATGGATGGGGGAACAAATCTTTAAAACTCAGGATAAACTACAGATACTCAAATATGCTATTTAGCCTCAGAAGTAAAAATATTAGCTGGGAATAAATGGATCAAAAAATAGGAAAATAAGTGGATTTCTTTCATTACGTTAAATATATGAACATTTAGTGAAGGAAAATATGGCATTTCAAATTGGTAGGGGAACAGTGAGATGTTTAGTAAATGAGTTTTAGGCAACTGTATAGACATTCAGGAAAAAATTAGGTTGGGTCTATTCCTCACCCCTTACAAAAAGATAAATTCCATTCCAATTCAGGTGTTTTTTTTAATGTGAAGAATAAAGCCGTAAATATACCAGAAGAAAATATGAGTGAGTTTTCAAATGATTTTTGAGTGGGGAAAGGCTTTCTAACCATGGCAGAAACCCAGATAGTCAGATGACAGGAAGAATTAAATTAAAAACTGCAAAGCAAAAATGATTGGCGACAAAGAAAATATTTACAACATAAAACAAAAGTTTAATATTGCTAATATAAAGAGTTTTAGCACATTAATAAGAAAGATAAAAACTCTAAAGAAAATGGGCAAAAGGACTCTCCTCCAAATAGCACTCATAAAATTTCATTCATTACTTATTTTGTGCCAAGTCCATGCTATGCACTTCATGCCACTATGTATCAGTCCTATTTTAGATGCTGGGGCTATAGCAGTGAAAAAAAAAAAAAAAAACAAAATCTCCACTATCATGGAGCTCTTATACCAGCAGGGAGAGAAGGACAGTTCAAAATCATAAAATATGAGATATATGCTATGGAGAAAAATAAAGCAGGGAGAGAGAGTAGCAAATGTTACAAAGAACGAGGTAGCAATTTTAAACAAGTCAAGGAAATTCTAGCTGAGGAGGTGACATTTGAGAGAAGACCTAATGGAAGCGAGGGAGCAAGGGTGGGTCTTTCTCTGGATGACACAGGCAGGAAACACCATGGAGACCAGGGGGGTGGAGCAGAGTGAAGAGGCAGAGAAGTAAGGAGATGAGGTCAGGGAAATGGGAGAAGTATGGGGAGAGAGGCACATCACGCAGGGCCTGCAGGCCATTGCAGGAATTTTGTGTCTTACTGAGAGAGATGTAAAATCTCTAATGGGTTTTGAGCAGATGAGTGGCATGATTCACCTGACATTTAACAGGTACTAAGGGGGCCGTGTTGAGAACAGGACATAGGGGGACAAGGGGAAGCAGAAAACCAGAAAAGGAATAGCAATAAGCCAAGGAAGAGATGACTGAGGCCTATACCAGGGTGGTAGTCACCAATGTCAAGAGAAGTAGCAGGCTTCTGGATATAGTAGGCAAGTGAATAGCTCTGCAGAGGGACTTGGAGATGAAGCATGAGACACAGAAAGGAGGAAGCAAGCATGCCTCCAAGTTTGTAACCTGAGCAATGGTAGGATGGGTTAGTCATTACCTAATATATGAAAGAGTGGGCGAGAAACAAGCTTGGGTGAAACATAAGGGGTGCGATTTTGGATGAGTTCAAATGACCATTAAAAGATGCTAGTAGGCAGTTGAATATTTTGAGTCTGGATTATAGCACATAAAATTTGCAGATGTGAGATCATATATGGTATTAATATTTAAAGCTGTGAATAAATGAAAAACAAAAAATTAAAAACAAAATACTATCTGTGGTCTATCAGATTGGCAAAGGTGAAGAAAATGGATATTGTTGAGTGTTAACTAAAGGGCAAGAACAGGCAATCTCATATCCTGTAATTGGAGATGTAACTTTTCCGAGTGGCAGGGTGGCCCTATGTACCAAAACGACAAATGTGACTTTGACTAACCGATTCCTTTTATAGGAACTTTATAGGAACACATCTGACAAATTCTTATATAAACAAAACTTTTTTTTAAAAAGGAAAACTCCTAAATGCACAATAACAGATATAAAGCTGGTTAACTAAATTATAGTGGATATTATACATTTATTTTCCTTGATATGAAAAATCCTCCATAACATATTTTGAGTGTCAAAAGCAGAATGTAAAACATTATATATAGAACACCATTTATGTCACATACATATACCCACATAGAATGGGGTCTGGGAAGATGTTCTACAAGACACTGAGGAAGGTTTTCATAATAAAGTGCAGAGTGGTATTTGACAGAAATTTTGCTTTCTTCTTCATACCTTCCTTTGATGTTTTAATCTTCTACAATGAATAGATAACATTATTATAAAAAGAAAGAAACTATTTTGTTTTTAGAGCATCCAGATTGGAACACAGGGTTGCTTTAGTCTTCCAAAAATATTCTATCCCTCTCTAACCCATGATTTCTCTTTTTCCAAATCTAAGACAAAACAACTTGTGGATATGACTTAGTAGCTTGACTACAAAAGAACTTGGGACAGCATAATGTCTTACACCTATGTCAACCAAACCAAAGCTACAACATCTGAAGTCAATAGCGTATTTTTAGCAGTAAGCTGTTAGTGCATAGCCAGGTGAATAAATACTGAGTTGTGATGGCATGACTTGTGCAAGTCTCAGCAGAGAACCCATGCATTCATCCCATAGGAAGACCCTAAGAGGCCACCTCATTTAAGTAAGGTGGTAGTAAAATGCTTGCCTGTTATAGATAGGGTACTTCTGTCTCCAAGATATACTTTACAAGTGCCAGATAAAATTAAGCTTTTTCAAAGGTGACTTAGCTTTCAGTTTTTCATCTCTGAATGGTGCCAAACTTTTTACTGACTTATTAATTGCATTATCCTTGACCTACAGAACATAGCCCGTTTAAATGCCAAGTCCCTGATGACACCAACATCTGCTGATATAACAAATGAACTAGTCCATGAACTTGTACTACAAAATACATCTCTTTATGCACCAATTGTTTTTATGCATTAAGTCTGGTTACTGCTGTAGATGTAGAAAATATATAAGAAAATTTGTTACACTATTTATAATACCTAATAAAATGTCTCAAAAATGCTTCAGAAAGTTTTTAGCATACTTTTCATACAATAATTACCAAATTAGCACATTTCTAACCACACAAAGCAAATATTAATTTCATTAGAGCTAAAAAATATTATCGAGGCCATTCACAATTAAAAATGATAACCTTGACTATCAGTAATATATATTGCTCCATAGTAGCAGTATTACTGGAAATGGTATTTCTTCTTTGGTCACGTGCAAAGCAAGATGACTATCATAAAATTTAAGGGACATAACTAGAGATAAAATAAACTTGGAGAAAATATTCCAGAGATATATGTGTTAAAACTATTCCTTTTTTTAAAAAAGAGTTTTGTTATTCAAGTCTCAAATCTGCATAACATAAGCATATTTCTGTCTCTTTGGGTCATATAATGAACCTAAAGCTGATAAAATGTGTGTCATCTGGCTGTTTACAAGGCCTGTGGATTACTGTCAGCTTAACAACGGGCTTCCTTAAAAGCCCTCCTCCTCAGAAAAATGAATGGAAACTGGAGAGATATCAAAGAAATCAGCTCAGTACAGGACAAGGTAGCTCGTTCCACACAGAGAAGTTGAGATTCTAAAACTTAGGTGATGTTCTTGCAGAACCATAACCTTGCACAGGCAAGCCCAGCCTTTCCACTGCTTGAAAGCCACAGCTCCACTAGAACAAAGCAATAACCCCACGGAGCCAACTACTGTAGCCTCACAGCCCTAAGTATACCCTGATCAGGGCACAGGGAATTTGCTGAGAGAAGGAATAACCACAGACTTTCAGAAGAAGTCTTCCTTGGAAGGCAGCAATTAGAGTCCCCTCAGAGAGCGCTTTCCTGTCCACCACACTGCTGAGGGATGCTATCGCATATTTCTAACCAAGGATGCTTCCAGCAAACACTGCTTTGAACACATGATCTTTAAGGCTAGCTGAATGACCACTAATTTAAAAGTTCTGCCTCTACAACGGCCATCATATATTACAGCTAGTCTAGAGCCCTACAGACCAAGTTCATTCTCTCTGCCACAATGAAGCTCTTTGAATATATGGAAACAGCAACCATGTCCCTTAACAAACTGTGCGGATAACAGAAACCTATAGCTTCACTCATGAAGACACAGTTTTCAGATGCATCACCATAATTGTAAAGCAGAATTTTCTGCATAAAAGTAGGCAATCTAATTTTTATTACTCACGTGTAACAACTCATAGCAACTATACTAGCTCTTACAGTGGATAACTTGTTTGCTAGGCAAAATGGCTAAATGAATTGGAAATTTTGCATTGACCGTTAGTGCCTAATTAAGTTTTAGAAACAGAAATCACTCCTTCAATATTTCACTCTATATTGTCATAATCATAATGAAAGATAACATTTCCTTTCAAGCAAATTTAAATGTTAAAAGAGAAGAACTGACCCCAAAATAAATAAGTATAATAAAAACGCACAGGTCACATAATCAAAAACCAAGAGAATAATTAATGTATTTAAAACAACCCTTTGGTCATGCTACATGATGAAGGTCAGCTTGACTCTTAATGTTTTTTTCCTACTTTCCTTGCATATCCTTATTTTTCAATTTCCTAACTAGCCATTAATGAATAATGATGGAAGAAAAAGTTCATTTGCTTTTTTCACATGACTTTTGGAGATTATTTCAGACATTTTCATGTGACCTTACCAAACACACTCTAGGATCATAACACAGCGAGAAGCACATTTGTCTACACGGCAGAAGGACTGAATGTGCTTTCCAGTTTGGATATTACAGGCATCATTGTTTCTATCCTTTCCAAGACATCATTATTACTCTTATATGATTTATGGCTGAAATTATGAGAGACAGTGCAAAGATCCTGTGCCAAATTCCCATATGGCATATAACATAAGCCAAACTGTGAAAAACTCACAAATGTGGGTAGATCAATTTCATCAAAGAAAGGAGCAAGAGGGTTCCAGAGACTGAGCAGGAAACTAGCCAGATAATTTTTTATGGTCATATAATTCCATAGCAGCAGTAACGAATGTGGTTCTGCCCCTAACATATAATGCTTGAGTCAAATATAGGGGTGATCAACAAGAAATCAGGCAGAGACGACGTGGGACACTATCAATCAACCCTGTTTATTCTCTGGTAAATCTGCCTTTTTTTTCTTTTTAGACTGAAGCTGAAATTGATATCATAACTTTTTAAATGATTTCAAAAGAAATCAAATGACGTCTTTGTAAAGTCTCAGTAAATACTGAAATAACTATAACTCCAATGGAATATTGAAAGTGAAAAAATAAGTAACAAGTTATTTTAAAAGATATTATATACATGTTATTTAATAGCATGCTAAAATATATCAACCAAAATCCATAAGCAAATATTTATCACATCACAAATACATTTTAACACATTTCTAAGATGCTGAATATCTTTGGACAAATTTTCTGAATTTAACTCAGACATTATTATCTACACAAAGTAGATAAGATAAAACTAACATATTCTGAAACAAGAACTTGAGTAAAGGTAAAGTGCAGAAAATGCAAACAAAAATCAACAGGAAACTAGGAGATTATAACTCGAATAGCGTCCTATCAGAAAAGAGGGAGAGGAAGTTAGAGAGGTCATGTCAAGTGACAACAAACACCACGTTGTTTTAGGAATGGCTAATGCAGAGGACAGTAGGATAAAAAGCTGGAAAAGTAAGTTGAGGTCATGGTGTAGAGAAGTCTGAATGACAGGGTAAGGAATATATACTATAACTTACAAGGCATTGGAAATCTACTTATAATACTAGAGTACAAGAGTGATAATTCAGAGTTGTGCCTTGGAAAGATTTATCTGGTAGGACGGATTGTAGTGGGAAGTGATAAGTAACAAGAAGCCTAATTACATGGGTATAAAAGTGATGAAGATGAGCATTAACCAGGATGTTGGAATGGTAAAGGAACACATGATTGTGAAGGTGATGAGACAATGTGGAGGGCAGAATCTTTAAGAATTGGCTTCTAATTTTAAAAAGGGGCTAAGAATAAAGAAAGAGACAGACATAATTATATGCTTTTGTCATTAACATAAATAGGAAACCCCAAAAGAGAGGTTATCTGGGACAAAAAGAATGAAATAGTCATCCTGGGACATGCTCAATTCATTAGGTCAAAAAGACACCCAGTTATGTATCAAATAAGCAGTAATAAATGTGGGTCTGAAGCTTGGGATTAAAAAAAATACATCATTTGGAATTCATCAGTATACAGTTGACAGCAGAAGTCATGGATGTATTGACATAGAGAACACAGAAGGGGCCCACAGCCCGAGCATCAGGATAACCTCCTGGGGGTGGCGAGACCAAAGAACTGTTCAGAGAACTTGGCAGAAGACCTAGCAGAGTATACTGCAGTGACAACAAAGATGAAGAGGATTTCAAAAAGGTAACATGAACAAGAGTGTCAAACTCTAGAGAAAGAAGGAAGTGGATACAGATTAGTATAACACTAGAAAACATTGGATGATACTTTGCATGTGAGAACAGTTTCAACAGAGAATGGAAGACAGAAACAAGGCCATAAGGCCTGAGTGAGTGGTTAGCAAGAGGAGGCAAGATCTTCTCTAATTACTCCAAATGTACAGCATGCCCCAGATATACAAACACTTCTTTAAAAGATAAACAATTGGAAATCATTTCAGCAAATCAGAAAAAGTAAAATAATATTAATAAGCCTTTACCTTCTTGTGATTCTTGTAAACATTTCTGTGGGCAAATCCCTTTCCACAAAGCTTGCATTTGTAAGGTTTATCTTCACTGTGTATTACTTTGTGGGCACCCACTTGATCAAGCCTCTTGAAAGATTTATTACAAATCTCACAATTATAGGGTCGTTTCTCTGTGAAAAATGAGTGGAGACAATCTCATATCTACATAAAGGTAAAGGATAAAAAGGGAAACAGCCTTACCTCATATTACTTCTTATGGTTAAGTCAATTAAAACACGATCCAAACAACTGAAAAACATCTACTGCCCAATGCATATATTTGAGATATGTGAGCCTATTCACAAAAGAAATGTGAGCTTCTTCTTCCATAGACCTATATTGTAAGCTAAATGTATAAAGTAGCTTAGATAGAAAGATGAAATTTAAATTCAAGGAAGAAATCCTACTTCCAGATGAAAAATCTGCTGATAGGTGTGGGTTTAAATCAGGGTCACAACTCGGAACGCTAAGGTGGCCTTGCAGTGACAGGGGCCAAGGACAGACTTGCCTCCTGCTCAGCCAGGTGGAGCCCACATGGGCAGAGTTTCTGAGTCTCAGCAGAAACTACACACTTAGATTGTTGTGTCAGATCCACATTTATACCATATTCACGTAATGTTGACAACTACGTAAAATAATATACTGTTTGTTTCCAACAAAGCATATCTGAAGGCCACTAGTTTTTGATCTTATTTCCATTTGTCAAAATCTCTATATCTGTATCCAAACAAAGTGGATATTCAAAAATTTCCTGACTTCAATGGCCTCAAATTATAGACATCCTACACTCTAGAAAGACACTTCATAAAGCAAAAATTATTTTCAGAGCTGTTTTTTTTTTTTAAATGTGTATAACAGACCTGTTCCTCAAACTTGCTTAAAATAAAACTATGGCATTAAAAATCTATTCCCAAAATGTATTTATAAATGCTCACTAACATTTATTAGTACCTTAGTTAGAATGTAAAAGTATCTAGAAATGTAAGAACTATAACTGTTGAATCTCTCCTAATGTCAGATACTATGCCCGGCACAGAACATTAATGATCTCGTTTAACCTTCACAGCAATTTTGAAAGGCAAGAACAAGTATCCCATTTCACAGATGAAGAATACAGAAACTGAGGCTCAAGGAGGAGTGGGTAACAAATTAAGTGGTGACTTAGAACATCTTTGATATCATTTAGTCCAACCACTTTTGCTTTATAAATACATTGAGATCTAGAGAAGTTAAGTAACTTGTTCAAAATCACATGGCTAGTTAATGGCTGAGCTAGAACTAACAGCCAGGTCTCCTGATTACCACTCTCAGAGCTCCTGAAAGCAACAAAGGGCATCTTTTGTAGTGATTTCAGTATAAATGAAAAAAATATCTATTTTACCTGAGTGAGTGATCATATGACGTTTTAGCTGATTAGCTGAAATAAATTTCTTCATACATTCTTGACAATCAAATACCTCATGAATCTGCAAAAGGTTAAACTGACAGTTAAATCAATTGGTAAGGCCAAATAAATTATATGGAGCACAAGTAAAATATAAACATGTGGACAGTTGCTACTGCAATATCCAAACTATAAATTATAATTCAGCCTTAATTTGTTCATACTACCCTATATAAATTGAAAATACAATGAACGCAAGTTACCTAGTAAAAACATATCATTAAAAGAAAATAAGATTGGACACTATTTAAATATGTAATATAGCTGACCTATTTAGTGCATATTAGATTTATACTCTCTGTAAAAAATTATACCTGTTATACTTTTAATAAATTTGTCATGCATAAATTTAGACTTGGAAATATGTAACCTGCAGGTAATAATATTCCCTTTACAGTGGTCAACAATATTTTAAACTTAAATGTACATCATACTAAACAAAACATTAATTACCGTGAAAGACAAGAAGACATATGATTCTGAAAAACATTTAGCTTACAGTAAAACTCTCACACGACAGGAGGACCACAATAAAAAGAAAAGGTCAAAAACCATAATAAGTAGGGGGTGGGGCATAGCCTTAGCAAACAACTGGCTAATATAAATATTACAACTGAATATTAAGTTTAGTTCTTTCTCTCTCAGACACTAAATCAGAGAAATTGGATAGGTGGTACGAAAAGGATAAGCCCAGTTTATTATCAGAAACAACACACAAAGTTCTAAGAGAAATGTATTACATGAAACCTTGTATTAAAATGTTGATCATCTCAATGAACAAGAGCATCACACTGTCTTGCTGAAGATTCAAATGTGGTTTTAGTGAAGTCATGTTTTTGTTTCAACCTCACTAAAGGTAGAGCTCACAGTACTAAAGCCCAAACAAGCAAAGGCTGTTCAGCAGGAAGCCCAGATACCATGGTTAATCCCATAGAATAACTAGGGCCATTACAGAGTGACATATCAAGGCAGATGACCCTGAACTGGTACAGCAATGAGTAACGGGTGGAGGACTCGGTTGTCTTCTGGTAGATGGTTCCCCTGATCTACATGGCCATGGAAGAACTCAAGGCAGGGAGCATGAAGAGGGGACGAGACAGGGAAACAGAAGCTGGGGCAACGCCAACAGATCTCAGGTCTGCAGTCTGTGCCAACCACGTGGCAGGTCTGTGGCTGCCAACCCGCCTTCTGCTTCTGTCAGGTCTGACTCTTGGCGAATCAGTAAACTCTTCCCTGTGAAAAGCAGGGAAAAGGTAGAGAAACCAGGCAGAAGCAGAAAGACATCATTCCACTAGAGTCTGACTTCTACCCCTGACTTCTATCCATATGCAGTGGCATCTAATCTCAATCACAGGATATATGGAGTCCAGAGAGTTCTTTGCTTCCTCAGGAAGCAGTGTGGGATCTGCACAAGTACCACATAGTAGAGAAGAAAATCTTTCAGCCTGAGACAATAAAGGCAGCCTCTTCAATAATCAAAGACTCTCACAGTGGCTTCGGTTGAACATCTATGTCTAAGGAGCAATGATATGATGTGTAATGTTTATTTAAAGATAGCAAGAACAGAGTTATATTCTTAAACTCTGTCTCTGTAATACATAATATATAACGTTTATATAAACAAGATACTCTAAAAAAGATGATAAACCTTCTGAGCCACACATAAATGAAAACATACTTAGTTCATTTTCATTTTTAATGTTAAATTTTTATTAGTACATAAAATTTTTAAAATTATTAATCCATACATAAAACGGTAATTGTTAAATATTGCAAAATAGTACTCATAATTGTTCACTTCTTAACTCTCATGCCTTCTGAAACATGAAACATTTTTAAAGGTTGAATTTAATTGATATTTCCCAAATTATAAAATAGAGCATTTGCTATACACGAAAGTATTTCTGCATTGACTATCTTATTTATAGTGGAAAATTCAGACCAAAGCTATTTTCAAAACTCCTAAAAAGGTTTAATGAAATAATCAGATTTAAAGTGAAATGGCAAGAGATACTGTTTGTTTATGCCAAATGCTAAGTAAAGCACATTTTGTAAAATGTCTCGCTTTCCAAATTGATATGGAAGATAGTAATTTACAATTTAAAGTCCTAAATTAAATAATTTTCAAGAAGGATCATAATATATATCCTATATTATAATATAGGATAGTATAGTAATGTAAAATACTCTACTAGACTATAATGTAATTTGGCATATTCATAAAGCACCATCTACTGGCAAGGTTGAAATACTGCAACCAAACTCTATTAGACATTCGACATAGAGTCAAAAATGGAGTCAGTAAAAGCTACCTATGGATTCAGAAAGGCTAAGTCAGAGGAGCTATGCTGTAATGGAGGAAGTGCTGCATTGAGCTAATATGTTACTAACATTCTGTAAAGACAACTGAGGTGCTATATTCCATCACCACCACACAGGATTTAGATCTACCAAAATATTCCTTGGGAAAAAAGTTCTTATAAAGAAAATAAATGGAAAAGAAGACATTCTCAGAAATATGCCCCATGACAAACTTTGCTGAAGCACTCTATTTGGTAAAATCTCAAATTTGGTGAAATATCTTAAATTTCAACTTCTTAAGATTTAAATAGGTCAGGGATATAAATCATAGAATTACAGAAGAGGATATTTATTTATTTATTTATTTTTGCTTGAGGAAGATTATCGCTGAGCTAACACCTGTGCCAATCTTCCTTTATTCTGTATGTGGGACGCCACCACAGCATGGCTTGATGAGCAGTGTGTAGGTCTGCGCTCAGGATCTGAACCCGCGAACCCTGGGCCACCGAAGCGGAGTGCGTGAACTTAACCACTACACCACAGGGCTGGCCCCAAAAGAGGATATTTAGAAAACATCTGTTCTACTGGATTTAGTCTTTTTGTCTGAGACTAGGGTTCTGCTTTGGAAGCCATAACGGTGATGGAAAGGGAGAGAGACCTAAAAGAAGAATCACCTGGTCTGGAGTTCTATGCAAAACTTCTTTTAAAAGTAGTTTCAGTGCTCACTTCCGCAGCACATATACTAAAACTGGAATGCTACAAGAGAAGGTTAGCATGGCCCCTGCACAAGAATTATATGCAAATTCTTAAAGTGTTCCATATTTTTAAACAATCTGATAAAATAACCACTGGGAAACCAAAAAAACAAGTAGTTTCATGGCACTTACAGAAGAAATAAAAAAAAAACACTGATCAGTTCAATGTCACACTTCATAAATGAGAAAACGGAGGCCCAATGTTAACCCCAGTGGAGGGTTAGTGACAAAAGAAGGAGAAGACACCCACTGTCCTGACTCTCAGTCCAGTGCTTATTCCATTATTTCTCCCTAAGGATCAAAATCACTCAACACATAGCATATAACCTCAGATATCTTAACAATATAACTATCTCATATGTTATAGGTTAAATCCACAGCACATGGTTGGAGCTATTGGACTGCTATCATATGAATTTTAAGGCCCATCAAGTGACTTTGGAAAACATCTATATACAAATAAAGAGACAAAATTCCTGTACAAACCTCAACAAAAGTACCATCACTAGTACCATCTCCCCTCTTCTTCAGTATTAAATCACTAAAAGAAAATAGTATGTGCTCCTAGACGTTCTGAACAAAACAATATATGATATTAAGAAATAATCATTTATATCTTTGTTGAAATAATATAATACAATATGAATTTTTTTGGACTCTGCCATGATATGAACAAAAATCTAAATTCTTTTTAATTCTGTTCCCATTATAATAAATTCTATTAACTAGTTGCTAATGTTGTGAGAGTTAATAACTGCCATTTATTTTTCAGATTAATTTTTCACATTAAAATCATAACTTACTAAGTTTTATACTCATTAAAAATGTATTAAATTTATTTTCTCCCAATATAATCATTTGTGTCTGCTGACAACAGTTTGACATACTTGTACATTACTTTTAGCTCTTCAAAATAATGGAGCCCTTGTCTTTGTTTTGCCAGATTTGACTATAATACACATCCCTTTTAACAGCCAAATGTCACTGCAGAGCATATTATAAATACACAAAAATTTATGGTTTCCTCAAATAGATGGTAGTTCCTGAGCCAACAGCAAATGATAAAGCTTAAAACCAGGGTGAGGTGTTATAGTGAAGGACTTGACTAGATATGACACTTTGCACTGGAGAAATATTTCTAGTAATTCTGAACAATAAACAACTCAAAATAGTCTTTCTCAAGGTTTACTTTTCTGCATATCAATTTTGCATATTAGAATATATTAGTATTTAAATTAATGACAAAGCTCTCTCTTTACAATACAAAAAATCAACTAAAAATTTACCTGGCAGACACTATAAATGAGTAAAGGATCATATATTATACACTGATAAGCATTAATCTTTATCTTACCGACCTTTCTATGTTCCTGTAAGCTTGATGCTGAAGAACACTTTTTATTGCACACTGAACATATGAGCTTTTTCTTAGGATCTCCTAAAATAGAAATAAAATACCATCATGATTCAAATGAGGTTATTAAGAAGAGCATCAGATACAGTGTTTCTAGGTGACATATAAATAAACAGGTATTTCATCCTCATAATTTAGAATTCTAAAATTTTCAGTTCATTGAACTCAGATAAAGAACAAGTTATATTCTAAACCCTCTCTTTTTAAATTTGAGAAATATTCAGCTTGATATATCACTTCTCCATATATAAAACAGGTCTTTTACCTTTCCATATACTAATGTCGTATTAAAAGAGAAAAGCACACTTCCACAAAAAATTTAAATCAAAATTAAAATTAATCAAATGTGTTTATAAAAGCAAAAATTGGATTTATTAATTCATAAGTTGATTTTGCTACTTCCTTTAACTTTTAACAGAATATGTGATTTAATCATGTGGGTTTTTTAAGATGGAATTTATTCTTTCCAGTACTAGACTCTTGCAAAATCTATGCACATATGCTTTATCACATTAATGTTAAAAACGGAAAACGGAAAAAAAGTAAAATCAAGTACAACAAAACATTATATTGCATTCATAGTATTATACAAATCAAAACAAAGCCTGATGTTGTCTTCTTACTTAGTCATTATATTTATAGTAGCTCATTTCATATTTGAAATTTCACAGTGGTTACAGAAATGAAAAGACTCAATAAAACATTTTTTTCAAATGTGATGTCATAACAGCATCATCTGAACTACCATAAATAACCCAGAATGGTTTTTTCAACTTTTAATTGATTTATTTCAAATATACAAAAAGTAAATAAATAGTATAATGAGCCACCACATACCCATCACCTGCCCCCAACAATGACTAAGACTGGCTGTTCCTGCCCCAACCTCAGCCCCACCCACTCCCCCATTTCTCTATTAGTTTGAAGCAAATCCAAAACAAGTAAAAAAACAATAAAAATGCTTTGATCTTATTATAGGACTGTATTTATGAAGGAGAAAAACGTTTAGAAAAAGGAAAACAGGAATTTTTGTCTCATTATTCAAGATACTTATTTCATTAATGCACTATTTTTAGCATGCTAAATATCATAGCCAAGAAAATTTTTCTTGGTGATTGACAAGTAATTATGGCTACTAAGGAGAAAATTCTCCAAGCAAAATGATTATCTGACAATAAGTATTCAGCCAGCAATTCCCTATACATATCTATTATATATGAAGGGCCACTGAGAGAATATTCCCTCTTTTCCAGCTCCCACTAGCTAGGATTTCCCTCCTTCAATCCATAATCCTTTATTGCCCTATCTTATCCCTCAGACCAGCGGCTCCTTGAGACCAGATGCTATTCTTTCCCACCGGGTAGGTCAGAGCCTGAGCGAGAGAAGAGAGAAAGAAGTGAGACTTCCCCAGCCACCCCTCTCACTTTATCCCCGCACACTTGCCACTGATCCTCCAGCCAGAATCACAGGCAATATACCAAACCCATCCCCACTCTTCAACCTTTTCTCTCCTCCTCACATCTTCTAATCTTTATCCTAGAACTGGAATCCTAGCTCTTTTGAGAAGAAATACGAGAAAAGTTTAAGATTGTTTGCCTGAGAATATAGCCCCAAAATATGAAACCTCTTCGTTAGCATCCACAGAATCTAAGCAAAAGAGAAAGACGGAAGTAGGTTAAGGAAGTCAATTCCTTCACTCTCTCTGTTTCCCCCAGGTAACTGTGAAGGTTCTCACTCTCCTTCCTTCCCTAGGTTCAAGGACAACACCACCTATAAAGCCATAACTAGACTTTATACTATTTTAGTTTTGCTATATTCGGGTAAGTCTGACAATTGACTTTCAGATTTAACTTTCAAAAATATTCAGGAACACATTACTTACAAAGGTAGGAGATGCATGAGAAATTAATACAACTGTACTAAATACACAGGCACTTAGGTACCATGAGTTTCAGCACAATGTGGTTTAAGTATGCTACTAGGATCTGCTCTAAGAACCTACCCACCACATGTTGCAGTTTTTATGGAAAAATGTGATCCAAATTTAAAAATTCATCTTCTCTTTTCTCAGCATCTTCAATTCATATCACCTAACAAGGAACATTTGTCATCATCAGTGGTAAAAGCTGCAAGATATTCTCTTTGCTTGAATACCTCTGCCTTTCTATACAAAAGGATTCCACAGCCATATGTGACAACACTGCATTACTTGCTATTCTGTATACGGAATATTCTTTCCCTAAAAGTCTGTGTAGCTCACAGAGGAAAGGGGAGAAGCAAGAGAGAGGCTATGAATGAGTGACAGATTGTGTACCAATCCCAGGAAAAGGTATGTATAGTCACCTCTGGCTGAAATACAGTTAAGTTTCACATTTTATCTGATCCACAACATAGAAAAATTAAAAACTTCCTTTTATAAATTATTTACCACAAAATCACCATGAATTTCCAGAATCAGTAATATTATAAGATCCAAGGCCAATTACAAGAAGCCTCAAAGAACTGATGCTTGTAGCACAGCCTGAAGACCACATGAAGACCACATGCCCAATAACGAGAAAGCAAGTTTCCAGAGTTTCAGTATGCATCTGGTTTTCTACTTAGTTCAGCCAAGCTAACTTTAAAAATGACATGAAAGATTTGTTATAATACATTGCAGACAAAGATGAAGAAAATTAAGAACAGCATTTTAAACATGACAGCTTTTTGTAAAAAAAAAAAACTATGAAGACAGGTCTATCAAAAAGTTATGCTTGCCTTTTGCAAACATAGAGAAGGTCCAAGTATAATGAATTCAGAAAAATGCCACCTTCCCTAAATCAGCCATATATTCTTCAAAAATATATCTGCAGAACACTGCAAAGTCCTAGCAGTGGGCACCATCCTGAGGCTGTATTTTGCAAGGCCATACCTCCTACCACCCAGAGCTCGCACTTAATGTGCAGGCCAAACCGATGGTGCAAAGTTGGAGCCAGCAGTCAGCTCATACCAGCATCTGTAACTTTACTATAGAGGAGATGCTTTTTGGACAATGAGCAAACAGGATGCAGAAGCGGAGCACCAATTATCCTTTTCTCCTGAATGTCAGAATAAACAACATGGGAGAAAGGAAACTGGCTTTCCTTACATCCAGAGAGACACATTTCCACCCACTTCCCAGAAGCCAAGGGCGAAAGTAAACCCGTGGGAAAAGTACAGGCAGAGAAGCCATGAGGGGTTCCAGGAACCTCAGCCTCTTTTATGGAAAAGACACGGAGGAAGCAAAAAGTTAACTCCGACAATACAGCAATCTGTTCAACTCAACACAATAGATTCAATCCCTGAACCAAAATACGTTCACCATGTGCTAAGCAGACGAAATCTAAGTGATGGTCAAATTGTATATTTGTTGTACTGTTTAGCTATCCATTAGAAGGAATTCAAATAGTATCTGTTTCATTAATCCAAACATATTCAATTCTGATGTCAAAATGCAGTCAGTAATTTTCTCCAATATAGGAGAATGGTAGCGTTTAAAAAAATGGAATTTTACAGTAAAAATATTAAGGCAGGAGGACATAACTTAATAGTTTTAAAATATAGCTACTAAAAGAGAAATTTAATATGCGAAAACATTAAAATTATTATTTAAAAATATTAATTCTTAATGCACCTAACAAACACAGCTAGATTCTAGCTTAGGTTTCCAGTTATGATTAATTGAGAGATGGGAAAAATGACAAATGCTGCTGAAATCAACTTGAAAAAGAAATAATGTGCAGCGAAAGGAAAAATCCATTGCTGGAGCTCCACATCTGTGTGAAATACATGGAAAAGCTAACTCTCTCCTCGAGAGTGAGAATTAAAAACAGATCGCTCAGCCCAGGGAGGGGAAGCCCCTTTAAAAACAACCCTCCAGGGACTTCTCACCAGCGTGGACATTTTCCTGGTGTCTCCTCAGGGCCTCCTTGCTCTTCAGCCTCTTTCCACAGCTGTCAGCTTTGCACACGAACCTGGCATCGCCCCGGCAAGTCTCCTGGTGCTGCTCAAAACTACAAGACAACCAGGAAAGGGGAACAGGGAGAAGAAATGGTGAAGACATACCCACACAATGCTACCATCGTGGCGGCGTTTGTAATGCATGCTCCCTAGTAGAATGTCAGGGTCATTTCATGCATTACCTAGGCAGGTAGGAAGGAAGGCAATTCAATTCTGTAGCCATGTGAGACTAAATCACTAAGAAGCATGACCGCATGCATGCCAAAAATGACCCACAATTACATAACAGCCATCTGATAACTCAGACACAAAACCTCGATGCTGAACTGAAGGAAGAATTGCAAACAGAGCACTGAAAACTTCGTGAAGAATCCTTCAGACTGCTTTTCGCTGTGCAATGAAGAACACTGAGGGGAAATGGAGAAAAAAAAAGAAACAAAAACTCGAAGTCGAAGACAAAAACTTACAAAAATATTTCTACTTTGAATAAAGTCATGTTCATGATCTTCTCATTCTGTCTTTTGTTCTTTTAATTTTTTTAGTAATACCGAATTTAACTCTAAGACCCAGCTCAGCAAAAGTATCTTTTGTGTGAAATAATTAATACTAAATTCAATAAAACCTGATTAGAATGCAGTGTTAAAGTCCATTCATTAAAAAGTATATAGCCCTTGCTTGTTTTTCGTTAAGAGCCTATAATTGAATTTCCAAATGTTTAATCTCTTGCTATTACAATAAAAGTTTTAATTTTTAGGTTAAGTTTTGAGCAAAAATTTTTCAGCTCAAATGTCATAAGCAAGAGTGGATGCATATAAAATATGGAAAGAATTTTAATATGAAATGCAGCATACTTCAGAATCTTACTTTAATGAATAAAAAAATGAAACATTAAGCCTATATTTAAAATTTCTTGCTCATATGCAAGATGACATTCTGTTAAAAATAAAAATTTACAATATATGTATCTACTTTCTCACTTTAATAACTCATGATACTGTAAAATACTTAAGTAAAAGAATATATGATATTTATATGCTATTATTATAAATAGGTAAGATAATACAGGGTGCAGAGCAATGTGTGGGATCATTTAATTCATCTTATCGTCATATCCTGTATCTATTCATCTTTAAATTATTCCTCCAGAGTTGCTGTGAAATAAACAGTGCTTTCCAAAAAGTCCCTGTATTCCTTATAACCTGAACTGTCTCCATTTCTTAAACTTTTCATTTACTGCTTTCAGAGGGAATATTGAATGCAGACAACTGAAACTTGATCTGTCACCTCAAAGCACTAGCTAAATTATGCATATCTGAATTTCAGATTAGGAAACCATTGAGCTTGATATTTGACAGCAGGTTATTAAACGGACAAAGACTGATTAGTATAAACAATGTTTACTTGTTAAATTTCAGAATCAAAATGTTTCAAAAATCAACATAATATACTAAGAAAAGATCAGTTAATGACAATGTAGAATGCTTAATCTCCTCCTCCCTCCCTGTGTCTGTCTCCATCACACACGCACACACTCACACACACACGGGTTAGAAACTGTAAGACAAAACAAATGGAATGGTTAAGCAACATGTTAGCTTATAATTTTAAAGATATTCTTTAATGTACGCACTGTCTTTGCAAAGCCTGCTTAACTGGAAATTTCTTCCCACAGTTCTTGCACTTAAATTCTTTCTCCTCTGTGGGTTTCTGGTGCAATGTCTGAAGATGCTCAGCAAGAATTTCCTCACTGGTAAAACTCGATTCACACTGGGGACAAGCATAGTCCTCTTTACAGCCAAAGCGCTCTGCACATTTATAAGGAAACAGATTTTAAGACAAAAATTAAGAGCCAAGAATTGCTCAGTTTTGCCCTCACTTTAAAATCAAAATTAATTGTGTGTAATGGTATCAGATTAGTAAATTCTTATTCTCTATGAATATTAATAGTGTTGTCCATGAAAAATAATAGGATGTTACCAGAAATACATTATTTTTTAAATCATTTCACTTGTGTTTCATCAAATTAATACAAAATCAAAGTCAATTTTTAATTTACCCTATAATGTTAACTTTTCACCTCATAGAGTTATCACAAATGTTGAATTGGAAAGCAAAAGTTTTTCCTGAAATGGGTCATCCTGAGTTCACGTTTAGCTGCACAAAGAGAAAAATCCAACTGAGGTGAAATATGTTGAATTACCAAGGGGAATCTCACACATATGTGAAAAAAGATCAAGGTCATAAACACAGCGCTCATTACAGCAGGTGTATCGAGGCTCCACTGTCTTGCTGGCTCGCCAGTCCCATATGGACTGTCACAGCTCTACCCAAATTTCTCAAAGTGTGCTATTTAAATTACATATTTTTTATGATTATCAAATAAGAGTAGATTTAGGAAATGCAGAAAATATGAAGAAAATAAAAATCACCAATATTCCCATAATGAAGAGACAACCACTGTGATATATTTCCAAGCCTGACTTGTCTTTTCTGCATTCATAGTTTATGTACATCTAAGAATAGCTACACTTATGATCATACTTTTTATGCAATTTTACATGTTGCTCTTTTTTTCCATTTACCACTTTCTCAAGTTAAATTTTTTTTTTTGAACTTAAGGTACCATAACTTATTTAACTAAACTCTCCATTGTTACAAAATTAGGTGGATTTTTTTTGCTTCTTTTGTTGTGTTTGGTTGTTTTTGTTTTTGTTTGGGTTTTTTTTTATTTTGTTTTGGGTTTTTTTGCTTTTGTAAACAAAACTGAATTCTAAAGTAAAAATAGCAACAATGTAAGTACCTGATTCATGTTTTAAAAATCTGTTTAAGTTCCTGTTGATTCTTTTTACAAAAATAACAGAAATTGATATTTTGTTAACTAAAGAAAAATCAGGGCCATAATACTAAGTAGTAGATTTATTTTTATATTAAAATAGTGGACATAATATTAACATGCACTGGGGGGTGATGTTGAGAAAAAAAATACAAAAAAAAAAAAATCACAGAACAATACAGAAATAATTCCCACCACCCAAAATCTGATGTTCCAAACAGCATAAAGCATATTTGAAAGACAGAACAGACAGCCTGTCCTAATTTTCCCCTTAAATAATCCAAATAAAATAAAGAAACAGAAGCATAAGCTGGCAATGCTGGGAATGCTCTTTCTTTCTCAGCCAATGACATACAGTTAGAATAGAAAATTCATATGAAAGACATTACTACCAGAACAACTAAAGAAATTAGTGTCACTTCTGAAGTAGTTTTGCTAAACAAAATGGAAAAATACTCTATACTGAGTATCAGCCTATTACAAAATGTCAATTCTTAGAACATCATTCATATTTCCTGAAATCCTATCAGGAGTAAAACACAACATAATAGGAATCAGGCCCAATAATAACTGATTCTTCCCCAGCAGACGACAAACAAGTGACATCTACCTCCTGGACTGAAGGACTGATTTAAGCAGGTCTGACCTACGGTCATCACAAGTTCTTGGTCACCCAACTAGAACCACTAGCAATCCTGCAGGCCTCAGTGATCAGAATAGAAAGAGATTTCCAGAGGCTCCAGATTCTCAAAGGACCTCAAACAAGAGCGAGGCCCAGGAATAACCCCGCAGGGCCAGCAAGGCCCTCTGCACACCTCTGTACTGGCCTTTCCCCAAGTGCAGAGGAGAAAGTCAACCTCAGAGAGTTAGTGACTTGCCTGGTTACAAGACTGATGAGTGGCAGATTCAGGGCTAGAGTACAAAAACCCTCACTCCTAGCCACCCCGCTACACCAGTGAGAGCAACACCAGCCCAGAGCTGCCCCGAACTTGGCCGTCCTACAGGGCACACCCATCACCCACACCCAGCATTCTCCTCCTGCTAGAAGAGAGACAGGTAGACATCTGGATACCCTCTGAGAGCAGTTCGGACAAGAATTAACTTTATTTTGAGAACACTCTATTATAATGCAATCGTAATTCAACCACAGTTCAAACTATATTTCTCCTACAACTCTCAGACCTCCAAGTAGAGGGAATACCTTTTCTGCCAGCTGTTGATTGTCCTTTAGAATTTTTAACTTCCCCTTCTTCGATCATTGTCATAATTTGCTGTTCCTCCTCATCAGCCTCCGTGTCACTGTCCAGGTAGCCAATCAGAAGCTCTGTATCTGTTTCTATATCTTCAATTGCCAAATAGAAAATGTTTTCTCCTTCCTGAGACAAAATTAAAAAAAAAAATGCTGAACCATTCATTTGTTACTGATAGTAACGAAGAGATCATTTTAAGATACACTGAGTACCATGTGCCCATGAAAAGTTAGTGTTACATTTTTTCTATCTCCAATTGATCTGGACATTGAAAAAGGAAACTGACAATATTAGTCAACTGGCAAATAAAACAGAAATATGTACTATTTAGAGATACTGACATTCATACATATCAAATGAAATAAGGATAATTATTTAAATTTTTAAAAGTGAATTTTGCATCACTAATTGGCCTTACGCAGTAACACCCTGTGGCATCCCATAAAAGCAGCTGAAAAGAAGTTTATTAAGTAATGGTGTCATTCCATACCCAGACAGAGAGCAATGAGATATCAATGATTTCGTTAGGATTAACATTAAATGCAAAAATGGATGGAAAAAAAAAAACTTTCAAATTACAACACAAACCAGAGGAACTGCACATGAACCCTGAAAGAATTTCCAAAAAACCAGACCAAAAATAGAAAAAACACTAGGCATCTGGGAGGTTCAAAGCATTGACTAGGTTATCCTGTGTACCTCACCTCTAAACCCCACTAACACGACAGAAGAAAAAAGAAAGAAAACAAGGTCCACCATCAACATACCAAATTTTTAAAGATAATTCTACAAGACAGAAATCAGACAGGGTTGAAATGATAGATAACTAATGCAGAAGAAATCTCAACCCGTAACGGACACAGACGAGGAATGCTGCAAAGAACCTTCTTCCCAAGGAAACCCCAGAGAAACTTCACACTTGGAATCAACGGGTAAAAAAAGGCCTCTGGGCCTGGGGCCCGTCACCAGGGGAGCCAGAACTGGGGCTGCTTAGCTAGCCGTCCCCAGGAGAAACACCCAAAATTGCTGTCCTCTACATAGTTGAGGATTTGTTCTGGGACGGCTCCCAGTCTGGCTGCTCAGGATACAGAGAAGCAAAGCATAGCCTGAATGTATTGAACCTTCGTGGTGGGTAAGGGGAGGAAAAGACAAGGACAATGAGCTCCACCAGGAGTGTAGTTCAACAAAGCACAGGACACAGAACAAAGGCTCCTCTCCTGCGGCAGTAATATCACAGCATTACAAAGAGGAGGAGACAGCGGAGGAGGAGGAAGCGGAAGAGGAGAGGAGAAGGGAGAGGGGAGAAAGAGGAACGTCTAATGCACGTGGATGTAGGGACACACAAGCAGAACCCCCACGAAAAACTGGAAAACTATGCAACAGACTTTATACAGTTAGCATTTTGAGGCTGGGAGAGGGGTTGTCCATATTCAATACTGTTTTACTTTAGTTCTTTTTTACAATAAACAGATTATTCTATAATTTTAAAAATAATATATATTAGAAAATTCCATGGAAGAGACAGAAATGATGATCATATTCATCAAATACTGTGCAAAGGAGGCTTGATTCAAAAGTTCAAAGTACTGAAGCAAATCTAACCATTAGCTACAGTTAATTAAAGGAAGTTCCTATAATATCTAGAGCATTCTCAGAAGTTTCTCAATTGCATACCTCCAGAAACATAAAACGTTATTTCTAATTAAGAACACTGAATTAACTTCTATACAACTGTTACTCTTAGTGGAACAAAAAACAAACAAACAAAAAATATAGACACTCAGCAAAAGAGAGGTCTCTTTAAATTAACTCAGAAGCGGTACTTTCCAGGGTTTGGAAACCACTTGCTAAGGTTACTGAAAACAACAAAGGACTCACCTAATGAAGACTTCAGAATACAATCATAAATCTTTGTGCTTATCTGATCAATATCCAACAAAGTTAATTGAAATGTCTTTCTAGCATATTAGTCATTAATTTTGTGATGGCCTTCATAGCACCAAGATAATAATTTTTAATTTTAAAACATGATAACATTAAGCTAAACTGCAATCACAAGACACAGCATGCCTATTTAGGGGCTCTGTAATAAAAGAAAATTTTAATATACCAGTTAAAACTTTAATTTAATAAAAGTAATGGCAGCGTTACAGGCTCCAAGGATCAACTGCATGTTTTGTCTGTATGTCAAAAATGTTTTAAGAGGAAAGTTCTTACAGGTATACCTCCAATCTATTTATTTAATGGAGATCTCTATGTATCTTTCTACATATAATTCCCACCACGGCCCAGACCAAGCATCTCTTCCTTTTCATTTGCTACCACAATAGTCTTAAGAAGTATCCTCTTAAATTGCCTCCTTGCCCACACTTCACTGATTTAATCACAACAACTCTTATTCTCCTTCAAAACCTTGGATTGTCAGACCTGCCAAATTCCTAATCTTTCCAGCTCGCTGGGGCGATTTTCCCCATTTGTAGCTCATGCCAGGCCCAATCTCCTGCCCTTTGGCAAGAAGGATTTAGAGTGTTGACCCAACACTCTGGGACTCAGCATCAACTCCCGGTTGTCATTAGCCTGGCTGTGACCTTGTGCTCCAGCTCTGATAACTGTTTTAATATTCTGATCCTGAAATTTACTTCTCCTTGTTACAGCCATCGCTTCCGGTCATTGGGTTTGTGGCTTATTCCCATGGACACAGTTACTCCGTAACAGAGTCACTCCTTGCATTTACATTTTAGGGACTAGCCGTGTTCCTGGGACTCTGCCCGGGCGCTGAGGTCCTGCTCATGGTTCCTGTCACCAGCTCCGGGTGATTTTGCTGAAAACACTGTAGCTCAATGTGTTCAACATCACATCTGTTCAAAAGCAAATATTCCTCTGCCGTTGGTGTTAATAGTATTAGTAATCAGGATACAACATAAAGCAAGTGATTTCACCACTGTTATTCATCTCTTGCATTACTGTCCATTGTTCTAAATTTTTTGTTTTTTAGCTTTGTTTCATTTTGCTTTATTTATGTATCGTTTTCAGCTAATTATTTCTACTGTAAACTGTTTGCAATATCAAAAAGTTGCAAGAGCCTAAATGCCCAGCAATGTAAGTTGGAAAAAATTAAGGTCTAACAATTGGTTTTTAAAGATTTATCAAATGTCATTTTTATAGAAAAACACTATATATATATATATTTATTGAGATACATATACCTCAATGTGCCCCAAAAAGAAAAAGATATCAACAAAGGTGTTAACATGGCTTGTTTCTCAGTAGAGGGAATTGCAAGAATTTTGCATAGTCGTCTTCTGCTAGTCTATACAATTTTTCTAGAATTAATATATATTACTTTTGTAGTAAAAGAGAACAGTAAATAATAAATAAAGGCTGCTGCTTGATACCAGGAAGCAGTACAGCATGGTGACTAAAAGCAAAGGCTTTGGGATGCCCAGGATTCAAAGTCTCTTTCTGTGACTAATTTGCTGTGTAACTGAGCAAACAGCTTAATCTCTCAAAACACCGTTTCCTCATCTATAAAATGGAGAAAATAATAGTGCCCATCTCATAGGATGTTTGCCAGGATTAAAGGTGAGAATATTTGTAACATCTAGCAAGGTGCCTGGCACATGCTAAGCATTCATGAACAGGAGCTATTACTATTCAAAAACTTGAGAGCCACTGGTTAAAAGATTCATTTTTTTCAATATTTGTGTCCATCAAACTGTCACATAAACAAAGTTGCTTTGACAATGCTGCTTTTGATGAAATTTCATTTGGCCAAACTGCTTTCAGCCAAAACATAATTCAACTCCACTCCCTGCCTACCAGGGCTTCGAAACGCTCTGCGCTGCATTTCTGGTTGTCATGCTCTGCTCACTTGTTAACGTGCTAATGTGTCACTTTGGTTTGGACCTCTGATACCAGTCACTTATCTGAATCATACCTAAAGTGACCAAGCCTCCAGTTTGCCTGTGAGTGAGGGGTTTCCCAGGACATGGGGCTTTCACTGCTGAAACTGGGAGACCTGGGCAAACGAGAACACTTGGTCACCCTAACTATACCCTTCATGCTCTCCAGAACCACATTCTAAAACTCCACTTCAGATTTCCTACCAATAATATTGACTGGACCCACCCATCTCCAGCCCCAGTGCAGGATTCTCAACATTTAGAACCAGTCGTGTCCCCAGATATGGCTCCAATAGCTTACCAAACGGACTCCCATAATCTGAACCCACTTCATCCTCTCATCCCCAAATATCCTTCAGAGGAACCTGCCTCCTGTTCTTCAGTCCAACTGGTACACCTCCTCTCAGAAAACACTGAGCTCATTCCTGCTTAGAATAAAGCCAAGGCGCCACCTGGTCTCCCCGCTGCACCTCCTCAGCATCCTCTGAAGCACAGCTCACTTGCCTCCTCCTCCATGAAGCCTGCTCTAATCTACCAAGTTCTTGTAGGTTCTCTAATTAGGAGTTCTCGATATAAAACGCCTTAACTTCAATTGTGCACTTACTTATAATTTATTTCTGTTGTTTTTGTCATTTAGCTCATGTGATCAATGAAATTTTAATATGTGTTGCTCTCATCTCCCAAAAAATGATTTCCTCAAGGCAGTGGACAGGAATTACCATGTATCCTTCACAGCATCAGCCATACTCATAAAAGTTGCTCAATATTTTACAAATAATGAATAGTAAAAGAGAATACAAAACTGCTTGTGTCTACAGAAGAAAAACAATTATTAGTAAAAAGCTTACTGATATTTCCTTTATTTACTTACAGCTAGGAGGCAATGACAATGACCCAGGTCATAGACAGTGGTGACTCGGGAGGATTATAGCAGGGAAGTAGCAGAGGCGGTGAGCAGTAATCAGATTCTGAATATGCTTTGAAGAGAAAGCAGATGCCATTTCCTGACAGATTGTATATAGAGTGTGGGAGAAGGAGAAGGGTCAGAGATGAGTCCAAGGTGATGAAGTTTTCTCTCAAGCATTCACAGATGTTACTCTATTAGATAATAATTTTTCTTAAGGATTCAAAATAAAACACCAACTGCGAATTTCTGCTTTGAATCTCTATCTTCTCTGTGTGTATAAATATATTTTCACGTGGTCCTTCACTCAGGTACCCAAG